CTCCTCCTCCTCCTCCTCCTCCTCCTCCTCTTCTTCTTCTTCTTCTTCTTCTTCTTCTTCTTCTTCTTCTTCTTCTTCTTCTTCTTCTTCTTCTTCTTCTTCTTCTTCTTCTTCTTCTTCTTCGATGGACTGATTTGATCTTCTTGCAGTCCAAGGGACTCTCAAGAGTCTTCTCCAGCACCATAATTCGAAAGTATCTATTCTTCGGCGCTCGGCCTTCCTTATGGTCCAGCTCTCGCAGCCATCACACACACACACAGATACAAAAAAAAGTAATATACTGAGTGGATGATACTGACTTCGATGGACAGACGGTTTGATTCAGTATAAAGCAGTTTCATGTGGATCTGTGTGAGACCAGGGGCTTGGCAGCCCTAACGGAATTACGTGGTGCAGGTTTTATCAGATCACAAAATTTTAGACTGCACGGTAGGGTGCATATTTGATAGATTCCCCCCATGTAAAAAACCTCCGTCCACCTAGAAAAGCTGCTGTCCACTAGGATGCATGGATCAGGGGGAAGGATATAACTGTTCTGCCTGAAAGGCCGTTGGAACTTTAAAAAAAAATTGGCAGCATCCAAGCATGCCGTTCCCCCTCCTGCAGTATGAAGTGGTTCAGTCCAGAAAAAGATGCCCAGCATGACTTTCGAGATTGTATGGCCCAGGTTAGCCTGATCTTGCAAGATGAGTAGGGTTGGCTTTGGTTAGTATTTGAATGGGAGCCCACCAAGGAATACCAGGGTCATGATGCAGAGGCAGGCAAGGGCAAGCCACCTCCAAATGTCTCTTGCCTTGAAACCCCTATGGGTTTGCCATCAGTCGGTTGTGACTTGATGGTGAAAAACAAAAAAAAATAGCTTGGTTCTGAAGTTCTAAGTTGCAGCAGTTTGTTCGACTTCGTTAAAAACAAAAAAAATAGCTTGGTTCTGAAGTTCTAAGTTGCAGCAGTTTGTTCGACTTCGTTCTAAGTTGGTTCTAAGTTGCAGCAGTTTGTTCGACTTCGTTAAAAACAAAAAAAATAGCTTGGTTCTGAAGTTCTAAGTTGCAGCAGTTTGTTCGACTTCGTTCTAAGTTGGTTCTAAGTTGCAGCAGTTTGTTCAACTTGGTGCTTCAAGCGAAGAGCCTCCGAGTCTTTGCAGGTAATTGGCACATTCACTGATGTCTGTGACTTGTTGGCTGAGTTTCAGGATTCAGGGTGTTTTCATACAAGTAAACGGCTTCCCTTTTTTAAAAAGCAGGCTTGCTCATCCAAAGAGAACAATCCATCTCGACTGATATGGTTATATATCACTTAACATTCCACAGGGCACTTCTCAGAGCGAGACTGTGAGAGACATGGACCCATTTACCCTTGGCTGGTCACAATATGATGTCACGCAGCGTTCCCTCTAAGCTGAGTTAGTGTGAGCTCGCTCACCGTTTTTTAGCCTCCGGCTCACACATTTTCGTCTCCGCTCACGAAAGATGGCTCCAGAGCAAACTGATTTATGCAGCAGCCAAATTGCTCACTCACACCTTTAATGCCAGTAGCTCACAAAGTAGAATTTTTGCTCACAAGACTCCACAGCTTAGAGGGAGCACTGGATGCCAGTGCCTGAGAACATACAAAGCGCTGGTGCCATATTGTGACCAGCAATGTTCCCTCTAAGCTGTGGAGTCTTGTGAGCAAAAATTCTACTTTGTGAGCTCCTAGCATTAAAGTCGTGAGTGAGCGATTTGGATACTGCTTGGGAGCCATCCTTCCTGAGCTAAGAGGGTGACATCAGGACTGTGCCTGCTGGCTCTAACTCATCAAGTGCACCCGGTATCCAAACATAAAAAAGAACCTATGCATGTAGGCGTGGATTCCATGTTCATTACACTATTTTAACTCATTCTGTGCCAAACCATTGGCATTCTCCGTTATGTTTTAATCTGCTCGGGACAATCTATATCTCATAATGTCACTGAATCCCTTCAGATCTGATGATATGCCTGCAGGTATGACCTAGATCAGGGCTCTCCAACATTTACGAGCCTTTGGGCACCTTTGGAATTCGGGCATAGGATGATGAGCGCAACCAAAAAAACGTGAAGCCACACACTCAGAGGAAGCCCAAGTGTATGGGAAAAGAGGGGTAATTAAAAAAAAGAAAAACCACTGGAAAAGAGGCATGAGAGAAAACAAAACCAATCTGTAGTGGCAGCTGCCACTGGAATGTTATTTTTATCTACCTAGCCAATCGGATCTCCAGTGGCCAGTCAGATGCCTTGTTGGGCAAGTGCCTGATGTGGCCTCACCAACTTTTTGACAAGAATTGGTGGGCACCAGGAAAGGTGTTGGCGGATGCTACGGTGCCAGCAGGTGCTATGTTGGGGACCCCTGACTTAGACCAAAAGCTTGAAACTGCTTATGCAGCCTGAAGAGGACAAAACCCATGATGCAGTGTGATGTAGAGTTATAAAATTACACGTGCAAGAATGATTAATGTGGTTTTATTGGTATTTTGTACTAACTGTGTGAGCCACCCTGAGCCTGTTTGCGGGGAGGGCAGGGTACAAATTAAATGAATGAATGAATGAATGAATGAATAAATAAATTCTGTATTTATGCAGCTTGAAGGCTGGTGAAACCCTGTGTGATTGCAAAAAAATGTATTAACGAATTATCAGGCACCTCAAATGAAAGCAAATTATCCAAATGTGAAAAATAGAAGTATAATAGGATTTTGGGGGAGAAAATAGGATTAAATTCCACCTGCAGCGTTTGCACCTGATCACTTCACAACAGTAAGTGTGATTTAGCACTGGAATAAACTGCCTAGGGATGTGGTGGAACCACCTTGCTTTGAAATTTGGAAGAACCGTGTGCTCGGAAATGAATGGAGTCTCACTGCAGCTGAGCAAAGCAACAGTGCAATTGCCACTCCAGTAGGAAAAGGGAAGAAGCGTGAATTTGGATTTAGAGAACTTTTTATATTTTCTCCGAAGTGGGAGGAAAGTCGAAAAGATTGCTCTGATTCTCCCCTGCTGTTCTCTCTCCCCATCGCCCAGATTGAAGAAGGAGGGAAGGCAGATTTACTGAACACCAAGCTACAGCCCGGAGACGAAGTGGTGAACATCAATGAGGTGGAGCTAAGTAGTTCCCGGCGGGAAGCCGTCTCCTTGGTGAAAGGCTCATACAAGACACTGAAGCTGGTGGTCCGTAGGTAGGTAAGCGCAGCTGGTGCTCGGAGTGCAAGGGGCTGAATCCCATGAATGGTTTTTTTCAGATGCAATCGCAGTAGGGTTGCCAAACTCCAGGTTGTGGCTGGAGATCTTCTGGCTTTCAAACTGATGTCCAGGTGACAGAGATCAGTTCATCCGGAGAAAGTGGCTGCTCTGGAAGGTGGACTCTGTGGCATTACCTGCTGAAGTCCCTCCCCTCCCCAAACCCCACCCTTCACAGGCTCTGCCCTCAGAATCTACAGGTATTTCTCAACCCAGAGCTGGCAACCCTAAATTACAAACACAACCTCCGTGACAAAAATAACGACGAGTCCGTAAAGCTACATATGCAAAGTAGTTTACTATAATAATTGTGATTCTGGTGTAAACTCTCTTCTTTGATCACTCACACGCAACGGATTTTGCGCAATGAAAAGGTGGTGATATCAGAGAGTCACCGTGGGATGTTTACTTCAAGAGTTGGTAAGTTGAAATTGATAAGAATTGTAATTGCTACACACTCGGATAAAGCAGTCTTTGTGAAACGGATTTTTCATTGCGCAAAATCCGTTGCGCAGGGCTTTTTTTGTAGAAAAAGCCCAGCAGGAACTCATTAGCATAATAGGCCACACCCAACAGCAGAAACCCATTAGCATATTAGGCCACACCCCGAGAGTAGCTCATTTGCATATTAGGCCGCACCCCCATGCGACCAGAAGTGTGGTCATCCAGCCACACCCACCTTTTTTCTTCTTATTCTGTTTACCTTGTTTGTTGTCAAAACCCAGGGCTTTTTTTGTAGCAGGAACTCCTTTGCATGTTAGGCCACACACCCCTAATGTAGCCAATCCTAATGAATTTCTGCTGTTGGGTGTGGCCTATTATACTAATGAGTTCCAACTCGGGAGCCAGCCGGAACTCCGTTCCTGTGCGTTCCTGCCCCAAAATAGCCCTGCCGTTGCGTGTCAGCGATAAAAGAAGAGAGTTTACAACAGAATCACAATTAGTAAACTATTTTGCACATATATCTTTATGGACTCGTCGTTATTTTTGTCACAGATGTTGTGTTTGGGTTTCTTTCTCCTCCTGTGATCTCTCGCTTTCGGCTTCAACCCTAAATTACAGCCATGTTTCCCAAGAAGATGCCTATTGAGCAGTCCTTTTCCACCCAATTTTAATTCCTAACATTTGAAAAGCTGCCTGCTTCAGCTGAGGTTCAGTGCTACTTTCAAGTACCAGAGCACTTTATCCAGCAGTTATGCTTGCTGACCTCCAGGTCAGAGTCAATCATTTCCAAAGCCATTCCAACTCGAGTTGTGGCCCATTCCAAAGTACCATGAAATGTCTCTGTTGGGATCCAATCCTCAGTTTCTCAGCCAGATGTTTGATAAATCAATAATCCAAGTACAGTCCCAACCAGGGGTCATTTTGTAGAAAAAGAGGTACAGGAGCTCATTAGCATAACTCATTAGCATAACTTATTTGCATATGCCGCTCCCCCTGACATCACCGGAACTGTGTCAGAAGGCAACACCCACCCCTCAGGCTCCACTAGACTGTTTTGGATTGCTAGCTATTGGGGGGGGGGAGAAATGTGCAGATCTGTCCTCGCAGAGGAGGGAGAACTTGTACCTGAATAAAACTTGGTCTTAAAGGTGCCACTGGACTGTTTTGGACTGGGGGGCTGGGGGGGAGGGCTCTGCAACTTATCTGGCTGCTTCTTGCTCTGACTGAGGGCTGCTGGGAGCAGGGGGTGGGGCTTGTTGCATGTGCCCGCCCCCTGGGCTCTTTACTGCTGGAGCTCCGCTCCTGTGCGCTCCTGCAGGAAATGACCCCTGGTCCCAGCACCGGCAACGATCAGTCGACTTGGAGCGCTCGTTTCACCATTAGGTTTCTTCAAGGTCGGGACAATCCGAAACGGTAACACCAAAGTATTTCCCAAATATATAAATATAAAAATCCATATCCGATCTCAAATACAAATATTGCATTGATTGATTATAACTCTCTGTTTAATAGGAAGAAGGATTACGTTAGTAATTTGGTTGCAGTTGTTTTTCTTGGATTGTATATCTTCTTTTTGCATCTTTCCCTCCTGTCGGCTGACCTCCAGGTGAGGCCGAGGTTTATTTCCAGAATTACAACTCAACTCCAGAGGCCTGGAGAAAATGGCAGCTTCAAGGGGGTGGACTGTGTGCCATCCCTGCTGGTCTCCCTCGTCTCCCTAGGCTCCATCTCCAAGTCCCCAGGAATGGCCCAACCCAGAGTGGGGAACCCTGCCAGGTAGCCACGTGGCCCATCCAGGGAAATGACTGCAGATCAATTATAGCAATCCATGTAAGGTTGCCAGTCCCCAATTGGGGGCAGGGGATCCCCAGATTTGGAGTCCCTCCCCCTCTTCGGGGGGAGAGTGCGGACTCTAATCTGGGACGACCGGGTTTGATTCCCCACTCCTCCACATGCAGCAACTGGGTGACCTTGGGCCAGCCACAGTTCTCTCAGAGCTGTTATCTCAAGGGCAGTTCTCTCAGAGCTCTCTCAGCCCCACCTGCCTCACAGGGTGTCTGTTGTGGGGAGAGGAAGGGGAAGGAGATTATAAGCTGCTATGAAGGGCAGATCATAAATCCAGTCTCCTCCTCCTCCTCCTCCTCCTCCTCCTCCTCAGCATCCTTATTCTGTATTCCGGAGATCAGTTCCAATTCCAGGAGATCTCCAGGCCCCACCTAGATGTCGGCAGCCCCAAGTTCAACTAGCCTTCAGAAGGGTTTAACCAAAAGAATATACAGAGCAGGGAGCGTAGCTAAACTCCAGTCCTTTTAATCACAACGGTCTGAATTTCTTAGAATGCTGTTTCCAGAGAGATACTTCCGGGGGGATGGAAGCCGGCCAGCCAAGAGAACCCTGCCAATAGATCTCACTTCTTTCTCTCTAGTGCTGCGAAGGCCCAGGGGGGCGTGTCACTGGCCAGAGTCTAGGGCGTAAGAAACTCCAGGGAAGGTGTAGCTGGTTACCTGGCTACACTCAGCCACGATCCGGTGGGAATTTAACCCTTTCTACCTTTCCATGAGGTAGGAATCCTGAGCTGTTTTGAGGACTGCAGGCCAGAAAAAGGAGGAGTTTGTTTAGAGAGAAAAAGCGGGATGCAGTGGGGAAATTTGGAATAAGCGCCAGGGCTATTTTTAGGCAGGAACACACAGGAACGGAGTTCCGGCTGGCTCCTGAGTTGACCACGCCCCGCAGGAATTCATTAGCATAATAGGCCACACCCAACAGCAGGAACTCATTAGGATTGGCCACATTAGGGGTGTGTGGCCTAACATGCGAAGGAGTTCCTGCTACAAAAAAAGCCCAGGTTTTGACAACAAACGAAGTAAACAGAATAAGAAGCAAAAGGTGGGTGTGGCAACATGGGGGTGTGGCCTAATATGCCAATGAGCTGTGATGTCAGGGGTGTGGCCTAATAGGCTAATGAGTTTCTGCTGTTGGGTATGGCCTATTATGCTAATGAGTTCCTGCTAGGCTTTTTCTACAAGAAAAGCCCTGATAAGCGCTAGTCTAACCACTTCAGGCAAAACAGAAAGGCAAAGGGAAATAAATACACCAGATTAGCGAAACGCAGTGGGTTTGGGGGGGGCACAGTTCTATTTCAGACACAGAGAAAAGGGGCTTTAGGGAGAGACTACCCGTCATCCCATGTACTGTCACACTAAAACTTGACTTCTTCCGTATTCGGTGTTGTTTTTTTTGCATCTTTGGACAATGGCCCTGCTGTTGTTTGTTTCATTATGCAAGTCTCAGGCAGAGAGATCTTTCACATCACGCACTTCCTGATCCTTTTCAACTGGAGATGCTGGGGATTGAACCTGGGATCGTCTGCACACCCAACAGATGCTCTACCACTGAGCCATAGCCCCTCCCCGATGCCAGTAGCCATCTTGTGGCCATGAAGTCTGTAAGCGGAGGATACACCTGAAATCAACTGCCAATTAATTGTATTATTACTTAGATGGCGTTAAGTGCAGACAGTATCCCGGCCCTCTATGTGATCAGGAGCAGTGTTCCCTCTAAGCTGAGTTAGTGTGAGCTAGCTCAGAGTTTTCTAGCCTCCGGCTCACACATTTTTGTCTTCGCTCAGGAAGGAGGGCTCCAGAGCAAACTAATTCATGCAGTAGCCAAATCGCTCGCTCACAACTTTAATGGCAGTAGCTCACAAAGCAGAATTTTTGCTCATAAGACTCCACAGCTTAGAGGGAGCATTGGTCAGGAGTGTACTATACCCACCCAAGGTCACTCACCCACCCAGCATGCTGGCCTCACCTCCAATGCTTGTGAGTGTCCATGGCACTGTGGTACAGTGGTATGAGTGTCAAACTAAGATCTGGGAGACCCAGGTTCAAAAACCCCCAAAAACGCACCCATGAAGAGAGGGGAAGAAAAACTAAACCAACCAAGCAAAAACCTCCAAAGGAAGTTTAGAAAACTAGTAGAGGGGCAAAAGTTAAAAACATCAATAGGGATAGTCAAAAGTACACGGGTTTATTTCGAAAACATATAAAAACCTTGTAGGGGCCGAAATAAAGCCTCGTAAAATAATCAATGGCTGGGATCACACACACGAAATAATCCGCTTTCCATCCGCTTTCAGTGCACTTTCCAACTGGATTTTACCGTGTGAACTGGCAAGATCCAGTTGGAAAGTGCATTCATTGACAGTGGATTGACATGTAGACTTTGATAGGGTTCAATAACGACACACCACAACAGAGATTTCTTGTGAAGCTTACTGATCAGGCTTTCTGTCTCTCTCTGTCCCAACTGCTTTTCTGACTGGCTGTCAGAAGTTCTTTATTCAGAGAAAAAAGCAAACTCACACATTTTCTCCCCCCTGCCCTGTTCAGTGAAAATGTTACAAACAGTAAAAGACTTTAAGCTAAAATCACAGTGTGTTTCACAGAATGTCCTTTCTCGTAGCTCATTATTATCTTGCCCGAATGTTGCAAAG